AGAATGTCACTGAGTTCTCAGTTACCATCTCATGTTTCCTCTGCATCTCAGGTAACCGTGGAAACCCTTTACATTTTATTTGATTCAGTTCTTCTCTTTTCTAATATACTGTACATTAGGAAATGACCTTCTAATTCACCTTCCAATGTTCTCATTCATCAAAGCATCTTACTACAATTTAAATCAAATTCCTGCATGTGCAGTTTCAGGCTGTATAGGCAAAAGCATTTTACAGTGAAAACCTATGAGTTGTCTACAGTAAGCCCTATACTGGGTGTGATTCCTTTCCTTTTTTGATTTTAATTGCCAACCCAATACCACTCCTTAATTCCTTAGCTTGCCTAGACATTGTATGAAACTACAAAGGTGTGTCTCCAAATTTGTTAACGTGGCTCAAAATGAGTCGGCACATGGCACGCTCACACACACACACACACACACACACACACTTACACTGACACATCAACTACCTTCATGTTCATACAGGTCGTGTTCACTATCCTGCACCCTGGAAGAAAAAGTGCTTTTAGATGCCTGATAATGTGATGTCAGTCAGGGTGGGGAAATTGGATATATGCCTGACTTGAGGCTAAAGGGCTAGGATTTATCAAAGGGAGGATACACCCAGCCCTCCAGTTTAGCTGTCAGCACATACTACTTTTATAGGAGACCATTATAAAGGGACTTAGTGTAACTAAGCCCTGATGTTCCTTGATAAACTCTGGATCAATAAGGCACTTTGGATTCACATTTGCTGGAACTATGTGCTGCAGTGCAACTTTAAGGCAATAATGTCTAATACAGTCTTCTATTTACAAAAGAAGAGTTGAATTCAAAAGCAAGAAACTGCACACATTCTCAGTTCAGTACTATCAGGAGCTTTGCCAGTATTGCCAGTAGCTTGTGGAGGCTAATTTAAGCTAATCTACTGTATGCTCATGTTATCCACCATAAAGTTTATGTATCGCTAACTTTCTAATAGACACAATTGAGCCATTTTGCTAGTTGTCTTCTTTTACGCTCCATTTTATAATTGATTTTTTAAGTAACTGTCAAAAGGCCTGTAAGATTGCTTTAACAGAAATTTAGAAATGCCAAAAACATTCCTACTTGTCATTTGGATTTTGTGACTAACTGAACAGTGATGTCCAATTGGCATTTTCCCCCCCACTGATTAACCTACCAAAGGAAATAAATTTGTATCCAGGGTGTGAGCCCTAGAATGTTCCAGAAAGAAACCCCAAATTATAATAATCTTAAACACCATGCAAGATTTATTAGATTAGTGCCTCCCTGTGAAAAGTGTCTGGTTTACAGTAAGTGATGCATTCTGTGTTCTCCAGTTTGTTTGGATTAAGTACCACAGAACAGGAAATGTGTAGTTAGGCTGAAAATGTAGTTCTGGCCAGAGCCTTTAAGAAAACAACAAGAGTTAAGCAATAAGACAATCACAGACCGGGACATATGGTTTGATTAGCAGGCAAGATGTGCAAGAAGCATAAAAAGGAATAGAAATGTTTTCATCTGAGGGATTACACCTTGAAAGGCAAAGGATTTCTCTGAACTGTTACTAGCTAAATACAAACAGAAAACTACTCAAACACAGAGCTACGTATAAGTGACTGCCGAAATTGTAAATCAGTGATGTTCAGGGTGTGGTCATGCAACATTGTCTGGAATCCATAGCAGCCCTTCCCTAAACCAACTCACCCCCTATCTCGACTCTCCTTCTGTCACAGTGAGTAACTCCTAATGTGAAATGTTTGAGGAATGCTGTGAATAATAAGTAATGATTAACCATGGATGGTGTGTGTGTGTGTGTGTGCGTGCGCTTGTGTAAGTGACTGTGCGACAGAGAAACTTGTTGGATATCTATATTACTTCCTGGCGTACATTCGAAATTGATCATTTAAATGCTATTTATTGTTGTTATCAAGCATAAAAAGTTATTAGTAATACATTTTTATTATCCATAGTGACGCTTGTGTGTGTGTGTGTGTGTTGTCTTGCAAGCAAAGCCATGAAGTGATAGTGCAACCAGGTTTACCACACCTTGCCCTTCCCTGCCTCATGCTGCAAGAGGAAGGGGTGTGTTTAAAGCCCTATCTACCGTGCCCTCCACACGCTAGCTCCACTAAGTACACACTCAGAAAGTGCACACACAGACAGGCCCAGACTTCATAGCCCACAGGCATCGCTTCGCTATGAAAGGAATAGAGTGACTGGGAGAAAAAGGGGGGAAAAAGCATAAGGAGGAAAAAGAAGGGCAGAGCCGAACCCAGTGAAGGAGAGCAAGGAGGTTGAGAGGATAGAAGGAGAGAGAAGTCATAGGTTGGGAAGTTCTGAGTGGATTGCGACCACTGGACCGCACACTCGGGGACAAACTGAGGGGCCAGTGAGGTAGATAGGTGCAAGAAAAGCAGAGGTTCCTATCAAGGGGACAACAGCCAAGAATATTTTATCATTAGGCTTATTATTCTGCGCGCTGACAAGCAGTGACAATGACATCTCCAAAGCAGAGGTACAGGAATTTCTCCAGTGACAGCTTTGGCAGAGAGAGGATGCCCTCAGATGATGCCTATTTCCAGGGGATGCTGAAGGCTACGGACAGCAGGAAAGGTATCAGTAATAGTGGATGATAATGGAAAAAAGCCCAATTGCAAGCTTTAATCTTTAATCTACTTATTTTCATGTGTGAGAAGCTGCTAGGAAAGAATTAAGTGTTTTTCCGAGAAGAGATGAGAGAAGCTTTTAAATGTAATTTCAGCATTGGACAGCGTTCAAGTTGCAGGCTGTTGTCTGAAGAGGTTTATTTGATGCTTGATTGGTTAGCGTGTTGTATAATATATGATTCTGTACATCAGTAGTGTCATCTGTCAGATTCTAAAGGAACACAGTGGTGACCTCATTGTTGTCACAGGCAAGCTTGAGTGTCAAAACACAATCTTTCTATTTAGCATGACAGCTCTACAGTCACCCTGGTCGGACTGTAGTGTCCAGTGTTTTCACTGAGTGGCTTTAATGGAGGATACTCCCCTTCTCTAAAGCATCAGCAGTTTCCTCACTTTGTATTGGTCAGTAAAGCCCATTCACAACATCAGTTGCGTAACAAACATGTTCTTTGGGTGACTGAGTGGCTGCACTACTTGTCTTCAGTTATAGCTAGAAAGAATGATGTGTTGCATTTTCTTTCTATTGTTATCAGTTTGTTTCTTGGTTTTATTGGAAACTATTTTTACAGTTCTTCAAATGGAATTGTTAAGAAAATGCATATTTCATACACTGATCATTCAATAAAAGCGCTGATTCGGTGTGCTTTGATATGCAGGAGCTGCCATTCTATCATTGTGTTTGATTTTTGGTTGCCTTCCTTTACATAGAAGTTTAACAGTGTAAAATACTCACTAAATGCCTTCACATCTCTCTTAATTAAATTCAGATTATCCCCTAAATATAAAATCAAATGTAAAAAAAGTAAAAGTAGGCATCATGCGGTACAATGATGTGCTGTACTCTTATTAAATACAATATAGGATTACTATTAATGCATTAATGTGTAAGTACCTGGTTGTGGTGGAGCTCAGCTCAGTCCGCTCAGTCCCTATCCAGTGGCATACCCTGCACTCATAAAGAGCAAAGCATCCCCAAAGCATTGCACTGGTTGAAACAGGACTTGAGTAATGTGGTGAGAAAGCAGTGACCCACAGGTCAAGGTGCAGATCCTGTTGGAGCCTCTGTCTCCAGCAGTCTTTGGGATACAGTGTTATTACTCTGTGTGTGTGTCAACAATCACCCTTCCACTCTATGTGACATTTTGTCCCCTTGACTGGAAATACCACAGCGATTGCATAGTAACTCTCAGTCCCTTGTTGGCTAAAATGATAAATGAGGAAGTTACCGGTCTATAGTGTCTATATGCGTTTTCCATGGGAAAAACACATTTGCAAAGGTTGTTGCTGACACCATCCTAAGAAAAACAAATGTCTAGGCGTCTGCTGTGTGTTAGGGCTGAGTCACTGCCCTTTGCTTTTTTTATTGCTGGGTGTGTCATTATACAATAGTCAGTTGGATTCCTCCCTTAAACCTGATAAAACAGGAGTTTGTGTTAGCGTCCATACTGTAGTTCATTCTGATACAATGTGAATGGAGTTATTTGCTGTGTGTAGGTCAGTAAAGGTGACTTCCACAGTAAAAATACATGAAGTGGCATGGAGTAAAGAAATTCCTAAACCTGCCTGAACCTAGACCTGAACCTGTGTTCATTTATCATAGTGCGATTTGTCATCCTGTGACATAAAAATCTTTCACAACTCTTAGCCCACGCGGGTTCACATCAGAGAGCTGGAAACAGACACATCCATTCACTGTGGCCATATTAAATGTTGCACTGACACACCTTGTGCGTTTGTGCCTTTAACTCCTATAGGAACACAACACTAGGCGGTTGTATGCAGGATTGTTGCCTTAGTAGGTGTGTTGCTCACTAAGGTCCTGTTGTTTCTTGTTGGAACATTGCACCCTCTCATAGTAATGTATTGTCTTGTAGTACTCATGCAGAGCATCTCGACACTTTACTGTGGAATCCTTTTGTCCAAGAGCACAGCTGGCACTGGTGCTGGAACGAAACATGATCTTGCAAAATGAATAAATAAATGCATAAAATGCAAGTGTCCTAGGGATGCATCTGCCGACAGTGAAGCTCCTCTGATGTCTGACTCAGACGCAGCTGTGCACGATCAGAAGGCTTTTTTGTGAAACATTCTGTTTGTCTCACAGAAACCAAATATGTGTGGTATAATGGGGAATTCTTCTTTTGTTTATTGCTTTTATGCAAACTAAAAGAATCAAACTGATCTTGTGTGAATTTCTCAGGGAGAACATCAGTCATATACTCTTAAAAACACTCTAGTGTTTTTAAAGGATGAAATTTACAAAAATTGTTTCTGATTTTGTCTTTTCAAACACATCTGATGTTTATCTGTGTTTTCTCTGTTTTGCAGACGAACGGGATCAAGTGCAGAAAAAGACCTTCACAAAATGGGTGAACAAGCATTTGATAAAGGTAAAGATCTGTCCCTAACTTTCATTCTTGTTCAATAAAGGTATATATTGGAATGTTATTGGTCTCCATCTTATAGAATGACAGTAAATTAATATCATATAATTTCAAGGGCTTGATTTACACTTGTGGTGACAAGAATTTAGATTTTACATGGCACATGATGATGGGCGATCAAAACAATTATGGGGAATAATGTCTGTTTAAAGAAGATAATATTTGCAGTTGCTTTTATGAGATAATGCCAGTTTAAGCATTAGTAGACCTGCATGAACACACTCTCAGCAGACTAAGATGTTTCATCAGATTCCCAGAATACAGTTAAATGTTGGGGATTGTTTTGAGTGACAGGCCATCAGTGTCTGAAACCTGTGCATTGTAAGTGACTCTGTAAAAGTTATTAACAATACTCACATAAACACACATAGCTAGTCAGTTATTGTTTCACAGTTGGAAGTCTACATTGCTCCATGATGTGGAGGCTTACCAGACGTCCAAGTCTGTCATCAGCTCAAGGCCTGGGTAAATCATCCATCAGCTCTCACCTACCTACTCTGATGCTCTGTTCCCAAACTACAGCCTGAAAGCCCTCCAATGAATCACACATTTAGCATCGGGGCAGAGTCAAACATATCACTCTGGAGTTCCTCATTAAGAGTGAAAAATTACCCCCTGAAACATCGTATGGCCCTCCTAATATCTCAGCTTGTGCCACTTTCCTTTCAGGACACTCTCGTCAGCAGCAGTACATCGACAGCCTCATGATATTAAGTGCTTCCACATGATTTATATACTCCTTCTACAAACAGAGAGCCATTCATTCTTTTTTTTAAGAAATGGAACAAGAGGGGCAAACTAAGCACAAATAGTGTTTACCTTTCCATGAATGTGCAGTGTTAACCTAGTCTGCCACCACTGTATGAGAACATACTGAAGTTTCTCCCTTTTGCTCCTCTTAAGTGTTCACTGTCAATTTTGAGCGGTGAGTCACAGACATCTGGACTCGCTTTGCTCCCTCTGAAAAGGCTAATTCTGGTCTCAGCCTGGAGCCCGTGGTGGTCAAGGCCAACGGTAGCACATGTACTGCACAGACTTCTGGGTCTGATTGGCTGAGTACCTGTGTTCATGTCCAGCTTAACTGAAAGCCTTCCTTGATGCATGGGAGACTGCATAAGTATTCACACTGATTGGTGTTACCATTCTGCCTCGTCTTGCTAGTATAACTTTAAAAGAGTTTGCCTAATGTCACAAACATTGGTTTCATTGCTAATGGGCCATCAAGTGGTTTCCGCTACTCAGCAGATCTTTTTATATTGTGGAACCACTAACGTCAGATTAGCTGCAGAATGAAAACCTGTTTTCTAACAGACTCTCACACTAACTACAGATTGAAAACTACAAATTGGTTTCAGATCACCCTGAGAGTTCAGAATAACACAAGCTGATGTAAACATTACACAAAACCTGTTCAGTGTTTTGTTTTCAGACAGCATGAAGGGAACAGGGTGAGGGGCTGTGAGCCATGTCTACTAATGAGTTTCACTTTGAAATGTTGACAGAGCAGCTCTTTTGGGCTCTGACATGGCAATTTGTAGCCTAACATTTACCTTTCAGCAGCAACAGTGTGGTTGATCACATCAAACAGAACCATAGCCTCAAATGCACAAAGTAATTGACGGGTGGTGATAGATGGCTACAAGCACACAACAAGGAGATAGATGACTAGACAATCATACGCTTCATATTTGAATAAAGAAAATAAACAATTATATCATCAAATGTTGTATCAGAGTGTTTAAAGTTCAGGAATATTAGGATATTAATAATAAGTGGCTGGTTGTTACAGTACATAGTGAATGTGTGTGTGTAGACAGTGAACCCTAGTGGGCAGAGTGTTGATTACTTTTACTACCTTGGGTCCAAAATGTGCTTTCATCTATGCTGCACATGAAGGGAGGAGTACATTAAAGGTTGGATAACTGCACTGACATGTTGCCAAAATAAATCAGCCACTGTTGTAACTTGCAATGTGAAACTTGCTTTCATTCCAGGCCCAGGCCTCCTCTTTTCACACATGGCCAAACACACCCAGTTCAGCTCTGAATCTTGTCACAGAACCAAAAAAAAGTTGTTAATTGATTCTGTTTTATCCATTTGTCTCATATACATTCATGTTTATCATCAAACCATCTGCATCTCAATCCACCCTAATCATTTTATGTTTATTCATTTCTGCTTTTTGCGCGTCACCCATTCTTTCCATTTTCCCATTACTTGTCCATTTGTTCTTATTCATGCGTCTATCATCCCTTTTCATGCAGCACTGGAGGGGAGAGGTAGGTACTAGCAGGACTGTATGTGTGGTCAGTATCTGACTTGCATGGTGGCTGTCCCCTCCCTCACTTGTTTTTCCAACTTTCTCTTCACATGCAGTCTTGTTTTCTGGCACCACCCTCCCTCACCTCTCTCACTTGCTTCAGTTTGACTATGAATTAACTGAATGAAGCCACAAGAATCAAAATCCATCAGAAAAAGTGTTTCTGTGTTTCACATTTAGTAGGGCACCTTTGTTACCTCACTTATGTGCTGTTTATTCATAGCCCCATCTTTCAGATGTCAGGGATGACAGCTGACATTTGGCATTTGGAGTAGGAGTCAGGCTTGGCTGCTTATGGCTATGCATTCCTGACTTGTGTAGAATTGTACTAGTGGAGCGAAAGCTCTGAGCATGGTAGAAAACTCATATAACATAGCTGGGTAACAGATTTAGAACCACCAATATATAGTTCCTCTTTCAAGTGACAGTAGTAATTTAAGATCCTGAAATAAAAACGTATCATTTTGCCATCATTCTTGACACCTCATTAGGATTGTCGTGTTAACAGAATCTGCAAATATGTTGCAAAGTCGGTTCTTGCCACAAAAATTGCACCACAGGCTGTTGTCAATTTTCGTACAGTACCTTTGAGACCATCTGTCATGTTGTGGCCATTAGACTTTTTGAAAGGTATGATTTCACGTTCCGCTTCAGTCATTACCAAAAAATGTACCGGCTATAGTGCCAGGCACAGATAACAGTTACAGCAGAGCAGTTCTCCTCAGGACAGATGTATGGTTAGTCTATTTCACTGTGCTTGTGATTAGATTGCTAACTAAAATAAAGTCATATTGAAGGCTTGTGACATATCTCCTCTTCTTTTCTTGTTTCTCCTGGCAGGCACAGCGTCATGTGACAGACCTGTACGAAGACCTTCGGGATGGACATAACCTGATCTCTCTGTTGGAGGTCCTCTCTGGGGAAACACTGGTGAGTACAGCCCTCGTGTCTGATTTTTGACCATGGCATCAGAGTGACCAAGATGGTCCTCCAAACCTAAGCCTAATCTTGGCTAATTGCATAAGAAGCACCTACAGTATCTTAAAGCTACCATATCTAATTTCTTTACATTCCCTAGAGGGGCTAGTGAGACTCAAAACAAACTCACA